TTTTCTCATCAGCCCTCACACTGTTGATCACAAGTGAAACTTCCAACACCGCCACTTGCACCACGAGTGGATGAGCCACCTTTGTGCCGTTCGGCGAGCAGCACCAAGTGGATGAGCAGCACGGCTCATTCGGCTGGAGACACCCATATAATCCTCATCCATTTGCGTGGCGAAGCACGCAGGATTAAAACCCCAGCTGTGGCCCATCGAAGTCCTCAACTCGTGCTCCATGTGCATCAAATAATGGTACTTTGGTGTTATATTGAAGAACAGCATTCCCTCTGCATGGCACTTCTGAGCCGCCATGCTGTACGAAAAGATGAAGCGAGACAAGAGCGCTCCAGCACACTTCATCTCCACCGCACTCATCCAGATTCTGTCGCACTGCACATAGCAGAGGCGGTGGAAGTCATCCAAAGCTGTTATCAAATCGAATACATGCTCGGTCGTTGCATCAAAAAGCCAGGGCCTCGATAAGTAATCAGCCAGCCATTTTGTCAGCAAGCGTGAATCCGAACCTTTCCTCAGCACATACACACCCACACACTCACACATGTTATTTCATATTTCCACAAGCTCTACAGAATGGGTCATGCACACTTATTCATTTTTCATATAACAACTACAAGAAGAAGAAGAACAACAACAACAACAACAACGCGAACGAGAACGAGAACGACAACGACAACACAAAAAACAACGATAACGACAACAAAAGGCAACTAAAAATGTTCATACTGCTTGCAAGAAACCAAGATGTCTCTGGCATCTTCGCCCTGGATGACCAGTGCAAGTTCTCACGAGTAAAAGTCTTCACATCTGGTGTCTCATGCAAAACATGCTTGCAGTAGTGGGAGAACTCCTTGTAGGCTTCCTGCAGGCATGCCGGTACCGATGAACCACCATCCCACGGTCGGAAATGCCCTATCGTGACCAGAAAGCATATCACAGATGCAACACAGGTCCGGGTGATGCCCAAATGGGAGATATGGAACAAGTCTTTCGATATGAACCGCACATCCGCACCGCCCGGTAGAGCATGTAAAGGAGACCATGTCATCCAGGGCGCTTCCACAGCAATCGTTGATCGCCAGCCAGCGGTCCTTCTGAAATCACCATATGGTATGTCTTTCCCGTCCGCAAGGCACCACGGACATATAGGGTTGGGGTCGTTTGTGAAATTGCGACCTGAATGCGATAATTTAGCCTGCATCGGCAAGTCGCCCTCGAGCCGAATCATCACAATGTAGAACCGTCCATTCCTTGATGGCACCCCGTTGCAGTAACAGTCGTGCGCGTCCTCGATGAAGTGCTGCAGCAAACTGTCCAGCGTTCTGTTCCCATGCCCGAAGCCGACATTGGCATCCTGCTCATAAGTTTGAGTGGGTACGACTTGGAATTAGCAAAAATCTTTCACATAGCATTAAACTCTAAAGCTTCTTATCCTATGCTGCTCAACATAGTCCTTGTACTCGTCTGCCAACATAGCTGCATAGAAGAAGCAGTGAAGTCCACTTGCAGGCCCAGCTTTCATAACAGGACCCCAACTCTGCTGATAGATGGCAGCTCGCCTGAAGGAAGTCCCTTCATCAGCATGCATTCGGCAAGGTATGCAGCGAGATAGGCGGTGGGCATGAGTGGTAAAGACATCATGTTCAGGCCACGTGTGGCGGAAACGTGCCCAAAACTCAGATAACCCAGCTTCCACCTGCTGCATCTCTGTATAATCATGACCAAACAAAAGTAACTTTGGATAATCCTTGAGAATCTCCATCGCCAGGCCTTTCATTGGAAGAACAGGATGCTGCCTCCGTCCATCTGGGAAGTCAATAACCTTCATGACTATTTTTGCTGCCAAAGTTAATCCCAGTTTCTCAACATTGTTCAAAAAGACAGTCTCTTTATCAGCAGTGGACTCGTGAGCCATGCCCAACTGAACAAGTGTGCTGTGCCAGACATCCCCCGGCTCCATTGTACTTGCATTCTGGAATGCCATTGACGAAGCTTCAGCAGCATTGTGAGCCTTAAGCATCATGCACATCTCTACATGCAAGAACAACTCAGCTCACACACTGATCAGGCTGACCAGAAAGCTCAAGCAATCAGAAAATGTGTTTCACAATGCAGCGAAGGACCAGGTAGGTCTTGAGCACACTCTCCACGACATTGGCACCTGCGTGGGCAACTTACTCACATGAAAATTAAATATATATATATATATCATTTGATCTATATGGATATCTATACATGCACATATACATGTACACATGTGT